GTGTTGAAAAGCAAAGATATCTCCTTGAAGACTAAGGTGTGCCTAACCCAAGCCATGGTGTTTTCAGTCGCCTCTTATGCATGTGAAAGCTGGATGATAAATAAGGAAGACCAAAGAAGAATTGACGCCTTTGAATTACGGTATCGGCAAAGAATATTGAATATACCGTGGGCTACCAAAAGAATGAACAAATCTGTCTTGGAGGAAGTACAACCAGAATGCTGCTTAGAAGCAAGGATGGTGAGATTACATCTCACATACTTTGGACATGTTATCAGGAGGGATCAGTCCCTGGAGATGGACATTATGCTTGGTAAGGTAGAGGGTCAGTGAGAAAGAGGAAGACCCCCAACAAGATGGACTGACACAGTGGCTACAACAATGGACTCGAGCATAACAATGATTGTGAGCATAGCGCAGGACTGGGCAGTGTTTCATTCTGTTGTACATAGGGTCACTATGAGTTGGAACTGACTCATTGGCACCTAACAACAACAATAATTCCTAAAATTTTATACAAGAAATTGTAATGTCATGGAAAATTTCTGTTATATAATTTAATGTATTAGTTTTCACTTTACATATGTTTGAGGTATTATTATATACTCAGGTGTTTTAATAGCATGTATGTATGTTCTACCCATTTTTAAAAAAAAATTTCTCTTATTGTGGTAAATTACACAATATTACAGGAAGACGATGAGAATAAATGCTTACATAACACTTAAGCATCTGAGATATAAATGCAGGGACATGTTTCTGCTTTTAAAATAAGCCAAGAATACCAGTAGTTACTCCTCCATTTTGGCTCTAATTTTTTCTTCTACACCTCTGTGGTATACTTCTTTGTCAGAGAACTTTGCTTGGTGAAGGGAATATAGTTATATTAATGTTAATCACCACACATTTTATTTTAAAGATGAAAAATAATATAATTACAGTGGTAAATCACTTGTTAAATGAGTGAAAAATATATTCTGAATCACTAGGTTTGCATTTCCTTGAAAGTTATCCATATTAATTCACTTATTCTATCTAATAAGCAGCTGTTAAAACGTGTCGCACGACAATCAATGTGCTAGGCACTGAGGACAAAGCAGCCAATAAAACACATACGCTTTTTGCCCTCATGGAGTTCACAGACTTGGCAAAGACTATGCTGTAAGAATTTACTAGAAGTGGTCTGAGAAAATATATTGCATATTTTCCATTTAATCCCATGAGAGGCCCCAATTCTCTGCATCTCTAGGTGGATAAGTGGTTGAAAGTACAAGGGCATATATATGAAAGACATTTTTAAAAATTATTCACTGAAATATGTGTATGTGTGTCAGTGTATACACACAGATACATATATACACACACACATAGTATATGTTGTTGTTAGGTGCCATCAAGTTGGTTCTGATTATAGCAACCCTCTGTGGAACAGAAGGAAATGCTGCTCGATCCTGGGCCATCCTCACAGTCATTGCCATGTTTGTAAGCCCATTGTTTTAGCCACTATATCAAACTATCTCATTGAGGGTCTTTCTCTTTTTCACTGGTCCTCTGATTTACCAAGCATGATGGTCTTCTCCAGAGACTGGTCCTTCCTAATTACATGTCCAGTGTCCGCTTCTAAGGAGCATTCTGGCTGTACTTCTTCCAAGACAGATCTGTTCATTCTTTTGGCAGTCCATGGTATATTCAATGTTCTTTGCCAACACCATGATTCAAATGCATTCATTCTTCTTTGGTCTTCCTTATTCATTATCCAGCTTTCATATGTATATGAGATGATTGAAATACTATCGATTGGGTCAGGTTCATCTTAGTCTTCAAAGTGACATTTTTCATTTCTAACACTTTAAAGAGGTCTGTTGCAGCAGATTTGCCCAATGCAATGCATCGTTTGATTTCTTGACTCCTGCTTCCATGGGTGTTGGTTTTAGATCCAAGTAAAATGAAATCCTTGACAACTTCAGTGTTTTCTCCATTTATTACAATGTTGCTTATTGGTCCAGTTGTATTTTTCTCTTCTTTATGTTGAGGTATCATCCATATTGAAGACTGTAGTCTTGCATCTTCATCAGTAAATGTTTCAAGTCCTCTTCACTTTCAGCAAACAAGATTTTGTTATCTGCATATCACAGGTTGTTAAGGGGAGTTCCTCCAATCCTGATGCTACATTCTTCTTCATATAATTTGGCTTCTTGAATTATTTGCTCAGAATACAGATTGAATAAGTATGGTGAAAGGATACAACCCTGACTCACATCTTTCCTGATTTTCAACATGCAATATCCCCTTGTTCTGTTCAAATGACTGCCTCTTAGTCTATGTACATGTTCCTCATGAGCACAATTAAGTGTTCTGGGATTCCCATTTTTCACAATGTTAGCCATAATTTGTTATGACCCACAATGTCCAGTGTGTTTGCATAGTTAACAAAACACAAGTAAACATCTTTTTAGTATTCTATATTATGAATTGAGAAAAGGTATTTGTAATGATGAAGTAGTTGGTCTTGCAAAATTCTATCATGTGATCTCCAGCATTGTTTCTGTCACCAAGACCATATTTTCCAACTACCAATCCTTCTTTGTTAACAACTTTTGTATCCAAGCGTCAGTAATTATCAATGCATCTCGATTGCATGTTTGATTAATTTCAAATTGCAGAAGTTGGTAAAAATCTTAAGTTTCTTCATCATTGACCTTAGTAGTTGGTGCATAAATTTGAATAATAGTCATATTAACTGGTCTTCCTATCCTGTCGCTGACAGCGTTGTATTTCAGGATAGATGTTGAAATGTTTTTTTTTTTTTTGACGATGAATATGATACCATTCCTCTTCAATTTGTCCTTCCTGGCATAGTAGATCATATGATTATCCAATTCAAAATGGCCAATTGCAGTACATTTCAGCTCACTAATGCCTAGGACATCGATCTTTATGTGTTCCATTTCATTTTTGACGGCTTCCAATTTTCCTAGATTCATACTTCATACATTCCACGTTCCGATTGTTAATGGATGTTTGTAGGTGTTTCTTTTCCTTTTGAGTCATGCTACATCAGCAAATAAAGGTCCCGAAAGCTTTACTCCATCAGTGTCATTAAGGTCGACTCTACTTTGAGGTGGTTTTGAACCACCAATCTTTGGTTAGCAGCTGAGCGCTTTAACCACTGCACCACCAGTGCTCTGTGTGGTGCAGTGGTTAAAGCGCTCAGCTGCTAACCAAAAGGAAATGGTTCTAACCTATCAGCTGCTCCGTGGGAGAAAGATGTAGCAGTCTGCTTTGTTAAAGATTACAGCCTTGGAAATCCTATGGGGTAGTTCTACATTGTCTTTTAGGATCGCTGTGAGTCGAGAATTGACTCAGTGGCAGCTGGTTTGATTTTAGTTTGGCTGCTTTGAGGAGGCACCTCTTCCCCAGGCATCTTTTGAGTGCCTTCCAACCTGAAGGGGCTCATCTTTCTGTGCTGTATCTGACAGTATTCCACTACTATTCATAAGGTTTTCACTGGCCAAGTTTTTTAGAGTTCGATCGCCAAGTCCTTCTTCTTAGTCTTAGTCTGGGAGCTCCACCGAAACCTGTCCGCCATGGGTGGCTTTGCTGGTATTTGAAATACCATTGGCATAGCTTCCAGTATCACAGCAACACACAAGCCACCACAGTATGACAAACTGACAGACAAGTGGTGGTACTAACCAATAAATCCTATTTGCTTTAAGTCAATGAAATATGTACAAATACTTTTTAATTGTATTTTTCTTGCGAAACTGTTTAGAAATCATCTCGAGCATTATAGTTAATATTAATGATAAGAAAAACTGTGATTTATTTATTTATCTATTTTAGGTTTGAAAAATGTGTGAGTGCTAAGGAGACTTTGGAGGCTGATCTTTATAAACGGTTTATTCTGGTGCTGAATGAGAAGAAAGCAAAGATCAGAAGCTTACATAAATTACTAAGTGAAGTTCAAGAACTGGAAAAGAATGCTGAACATGACAGGTATTTAGCCTTTCTGTTTTTGGATGACAGATGCATAAATTTAAGTGGATCTTCCCCCCAGACGTAATGAAAGTTAGGTTACAATTTTTTAAGTAATCTGAAATCATTTGTTTTTGTGGAGTTGTGTGCTGGCTTCTAGGCAGGGATGCAGTGGGCTGGAGAATTCTCAGCATCATCTCTCCATGTCTGTCCAACTGTCATTACACTTACGTAAATCATATAACTGGCATGAGGTTTATCTAAATACTGCTTGTTCAGTTCTTAGAAATAAGACACATATTGATTAATACTTAAAAAAGCATTTATCTTCTGCAAAACTAGACAGTTGGATTCACATTTGTAAATTTGATATTTAAGCAATGGTTAAGTTTACAATCAAGTTGCTAATGTTAAATTTCAGGGAACGTTGCTTTTATTTGAGCTTTTCAGTACCCCAAGTGCTGACTGGACTGTGATTACCTCTCTTATCCTTCCATCTAGTTTTCTCTTGCGTTGTATATGTACTTCACTCTCAAGGAAGACTCATAAATGACTTACAGCTGGTATAGTTTTGGACAATTATAATTTTCTCAAGAATAAGTGGATATAGGTTAGAGTCTGTTGCCCTGAATCTGGGAGAAAGCACAGGTTTGCTAGTGAACATAACATTTGATGTCAGATAGTCTTACTTCGAGTGCTGGTCTGGCACTGATATCTGTTAAGGTATCTATTAATAGATGTCTTTGGGCAAGTCCTTTAAAGCTCTGTGTTTCACTTTATCCTCATAATGATAAAAGTACCTGTCTCTTAGAATTTGGGGGATGTAAAATGAAATGTAGAACTGCTCTGAGATTAGTAAAATGCTAAATATTCTCTGACACACAGAAAATGATTTGGTAGAGTAATATTTTTATAGAAGAGTAATACGTGATAAAAAACTGATTCAAGAATTAATTATAGTGAGCATTAAACCACATTATTAGGTAAAAGGGAAATTCCTTCTTAAGAGGGTTAACATTTTTAAGGTAGTTTCATCTAAATCATATATATTTGAATATATGTTTGTTTAATTGAATCTTTTTCAAGGGATACTTTCTATAATTAATTACTAGTTTCTTTGATACCCAGCCAGGAGAGGGCCAATAATTTATAGCTACCTGTCTTAGTTATCTAGTGCTGCTATTGCTGCTATAACAGAAATACCACAAGTGGATGGCATTAACAAACAGAAATTTATTTTCTCGAAGTTTAGGAGGCTTGAAGTCCAAATTCAGGGTGCCACCTCCAGGGGAACACTTTCTCTCTCTGTTTGCTCTGGGGGGAGGTCCTTGTCATCAGTCTTACTCTAGTCTGGGAGCCTCTCACTGCAGGAACCCCGCTTCCAAAGGACATGCTCTGCTCCCAGAGCTTCTTTCTTGGTGGCATGAGGTTCCTCTCCTCTCTGCTTGATTCTCCCTTTTATATCTTGAAAGAGATTGACTCAAGATACAACCTAATCCTGTAGATTGAGTCCTGCCTCATTAGCATAACTGCTTCTAATCCTGCCTCATTAACATCATAGAGGTTAGGATTTATAACACACAGGATAATCACATCAGATCACAAAATGTGGACAACCACACAATACTGGGAGTCATGGCCTAGCCAAGTTGATACACATTTTTGGGGGACACGATTCAATCCATAACACTACCTTTCTCTGTTTCCAGGGAAACTGCAACTTGTTCTCAAGTGAGTGCTGACAGAGATGCAGTCTATGATGAAAGTACCGATGAAGAAAGTGGAAACCAGCCTGATCCCTCTGTGTTATCTCCAGGTAAGATAAATATACTCATTTTCTTTGTGGAATATTTCACTTGGGCTTATTACTCGGATGACAATAAACCATAATGAAAATGTTCTGAACAAAATTTTCTGCAAAAATTCCTTAGGGATTTTAGTCTAAAACCTCAAATTCTTAATGTTAAAAATAAATATTAATTGTGAAATGCAACAACTCATTGGCAACAATAAAACAAGCAAGCATGCACACCCAAACTAAGGTGTACTATTCCTTGTTAAGCAAGGATGCATAAGCAATAAGCAAGATGTGCCTTCTTGCTAAGTATCACCAGCTCAAACCTGGCTGCCTTAAATGTTTGAGATCTTATCTAGCTAAAGGTACAGATGGGGCGGTGGAAGGGGTGACCTAGACTGCCTTAGATTATTCCTGAGGTTGAGGCCTTATCTCATCATTCGCAAAAGGGGTTGCAATTGGGCAGATGTGACAGAAGAGAAGAGAAGGGAAAATGGTAGTTCAGTTTAAAGTACCTGATCCTTACTAAATCCCCCTGATCAAATGGCAAGCAGATTTTTAAGCCCCTGGGTTGTTATTATTCTAGAATTTTATAGATTTCTAGGGGCAGTAGAAGCAGGAACCCCTAACTTATACTCAGTGGTTCTAACATAAGGCAAATATCCTCTAAAATAAATGTTTGATTAACCTATTTAGCAATACTGTTTGAGTTCCTGTTATATACTAGGGACTTTTCTGTGTAGTAGAGAGTAAAGCACAAAGATAATCTGCCTTCATGAAGATTAAATTCTAGTCAGGGAAAGAGACAATAAGTAAGATGAATAAACAAAATATGAAGTATTTTAGGTAGTGATAAATGCTAAAGAGAAAAATAAATCAGGGAAAGATGATAGAAAGTGTCAGGCTGGAGGTGGGAATGAGGTTTGTGATTTTAGCCAAAGCACCAGGAAAAGTCTCAGTGAGAAGGTGACAGGTCTATTTGGGGGAAGAACATACCAGGCAGAAATAGCAGTTGAGTACAGAGACCCTGGAGTGGGAGCTTGCCTGTTATGCTCAAGCAATAGCACGGAGGGTAGTGTGGACACAGTACAAAGATCCAAGACTGAGAGAATTAGGAGATAAAATGAGAGAGATAATGGAGCCAGGTCGTGTGTAGGGCCTTGTAGGCCATTGTAAGGACTGTATATCTTACTTTGACTTAGACTTGAAATTGTAGAATTTTAAGCAGTCAAGTGACATGATCTAAGTTTTTATAGGATTAGTCTGGCTGCTGAAGGTCAGAAGAAGATATAAAAGATGGGAAGTTTACGGTAAAGGATGAAAATGACTTAGACCAGAGTGATAGCAGTGGACATGATGAGCAACAGGCAGCTTCTACATACATTTAGAGGCAGCAGGATTTTTTGATGAAGCGAGGATAGGGCATGGGACAAAGAAAGGAGTCAATGTTGGCACATTTTTTAGACTGAACTACTGAAGGAAAGGAATTGATTTACTGAGATGGAGAAGACTTCAAGAGGAAGGTTAGGAACACAGTTTTAGAAATATTAATTTTGAAAATTGAATAGGGAGTTGGATATATAAATCTGGACTTTGGAGGAGGGGTCGTTGTTAAGATACAGGAATAGATGGCATTTAAAGTTGGTTGAGATATTAAGAGAATCAGAGAAGACAGAAAAGCTAAGTGAGTTGTCCAAGACTCAGTCCTACTACACTTGAGTATGTAGAGGTCAGGAAGATAAAGAGACCAGGAAAGAAGACTGTGAGGGAGGAGTCAGGAGGTAGGAAGACACTACTGTTAATGGTGGTGTCCTGGAAGCCAAGTGAAGAAAATATTTCAAGGAGAAGACAGTAACCAGCAGATTAGGCAAGAAAATGAAGAGTGAGGACTGATGGATTTAGCTACATAAATCTTACTGGGCACCTTAATAAGCCGCTTTCAGTGGAATGGCCAGGGGAAAGAGTAGGAGAAAATAGGAGGCTCAAAGGGAATGTGAGGAGAGAATTGGGGATAAGACAGCAAGTATAGGCAACTCTTTCAATAATAAATAAATGTGACAGCAGCTCGATGGGAAAGTGAAGTTAGAGGGGATTTTTTTTCTTTTAGATGAGAGAAATAATGTCATGTTTGTATGCTGATGGATGTGAATAGGAGAAAGAAGAAATTGCTGAGGCAATAGATGGAGATAAGAATTGATGGAATACCGTCTCTAAGTAGATATGAGAGGATGGAATCCAAAAGACAAGTGGAGGGATTACTTTAGCTAGGAGCATGGACCCTACACATACTGACAGGAGAGAAAGTAGAATGAATGGCCAAAGACACAGGAAGGTGTCTAATTGAGGTGATAGAAATGTACTGATAATTGATTAAATTAGTTGATTGATGTAACCTGATTCTGATCAGATTTGAATTGGGTCACAAAGTGACAGTCACAGTTGTGCAAATCAGAATTAAGTTTCTTTTCATTTGGCAGTTATGTTTATTTTACATTAGTGCCTCATTTAAAGTGAAATCATTCTTTAATAATCAAGTTTAATCAAAAGTTCACAGAGAAAATCTATGCTCTTTCCAGTTAAAACTTTCAGAATTTTTATTAAATAAAATAGTCTTTGTTTTTGTCCCTTATTCAGAGCATCTCACTGCCCTTTGAAGTAGATGAAAATTATTGTTGAAAAGAAAATATATGGTTAAGTATAGGTATATGAGTATGGAGTCCTTTGTGTGTTCTATTTTAAGCAAAGCTTTTTAAGCTGTAATTGCACTATTTTAAATTTGGCAAGATTTCTCTTCTCTTCAGAAATGTTTAGTTCATTCCGTACTTTTTGTATATTCTATATATCATTATTTCTTTAAGTCATAATCTGGTTCACTATATTTTGATCCTTAGGTCTCTGGTTCTAATTTTTTCTTTTCTTTTTTTTTTACATTTTACTTCCTTTTTGGCAAGAAGTTTTGATGTCAAGAATTAAGAACATTTTATTAGAACTTTTAACTATCCTTTTCCTTCTGCTTTAGTAAGAAATATACAGGAAACTAAAGTTTGCCAAAAAGGTAATGAATCTGAGCTCTGAAGTGCTTGATATTGAACCAAGAACTACATTTCATTTATCTGAGGAAAAATTTTCTATATGTTAAACAACAAAATGGGTCTTCTTATAATTTGCCAGATTCCATAATTCATTCTTTTACCGTGTCAAAACATATTCTTAGTCCATGGCAATATTATCTTGTTTTTGTGTGCAGTTATATCTTTTTAGTGTTCTATATATTATTACTATGTGTTTGGAGCACAGCAGTGAGAATTTCTTCCTGGGCTCATTCTGCTATTTTAACAAGTTGTTTATTCTAAAACCAAACCAAAACAAAACAAAATAAAAACAAACCCATTGTTGTTGAGTCGATTCTGACTCATAGTGACCATATAGGACAGAGTAGAACTGCCCTATAGAGTTTCCAAGGAGTGGCTGGTGGATTCAAACTGCCAACCTTTTGATTAGTAGCTGAACAGATAACCACTGCACCACCAGGGCTCCTGTTTATTCTTAGACTACAAGTAAATATGTAAATTTATTCTAAATATCGCAAGTTCACGTGTGCTTTTCCTACAGTAAAAACAAGAGAAAAGAGAGATCGATGGGTTTAATGTATTTACTCTAATTTTCAGAATGCCTTTTCTTTAAATGGCTGACTGTAACACAGTAGTGATTTTTATTATATAAATAAATTTTCATCATTAATTATTAATATCCAAATTTTATTATGAGTTATTCACCATATTTCGCATACTATTCATTCAAGGAAAAAATCCATTTACTTTTATGTGTATATTTAGAAATAGGATAGGGATATTGTAACTTGTAGAAAATTGATAGGTAACAAGTTTTATGATAATCAGTCTATTTCATTATTTTCTTGTCCACAGTTTTAAATTGTTCCATGATCATTAGGATTGTTGAGAAAATAACTGATGATAAGTAGCCTAATCTAGTAAATTAGTAAACTACATCATGTTTACACATTATATAACATGAAAAGCCTTTAAAATATTCACTAACAGTTTATTGACTAAAAGGAGATCTCCACAGTATTCTGAAACCTTAGCATCACATTTTTCTCCCATGAATACCACCCTGCAACTGGATTTTACATTTTTCTGTAGCAAAAATTACTTTCCCCTGAATTTCCAGATAGATAGCAATGGTATTACAGACTTTATTTCTTAAACTGTTACTTTATATACTAAGACCCTAGAGTTTATAGGGATTTTACTTTGTTTCAGGTTAAGTTTATAATAGATAAGAGAGTTACTGTGGTCTGTGTATAGTTCAACACTTGAATTTATCATTTACCCCCATCTAGTTGGTATGAACTCTTTGTGGCTTTAAAGATTTCCTGCTTAGTCTTGACTCCCCTTTGCACCCAAAAGTTTTTGTTTTTTAATTCAGTGGGACCCTTTTGGGTTATAATATTGTGAAACAACCTGCTATACAGGAAATACTCTGTTTCTCTGGATCCAAATAAAGATAAAACCTGATATCCATGTCAGTGGATGAGTTTCAAGTTAAACTAGATTTGCTGTATATTGTTAGTTGCAACAGAGTCTCACCAAAATATGTAAAGCTATAAGCACTCTTAGTATAGCATCTGAGTTTCAGACATTCCAGCACTATAACCAGGCATCCTTTCATTTACCTCAACAATAGCTGAAATACTCCAAAAACCAATTTATGCTTATGTGGTTTTTTATAGTTTTACATATGTTGTTTTAGAAGCATTTTGATGCTATAATAAAAGTAGAAATGTATGCCAAATCAATTTTTTTTTAATATTTTATTGTACTTCAGGTGAAGGCTTACAGAACAAATAGTTTCTCATGAAACAGTAGTACACATGTTGTTTTATGACATTG